AACACAAATGCATTAAGATGGATTGATAATATTCATAAAGAGAAATGGACGAGGGCATACGACAATGGGATGTAATGGGGACACATGACAACTAGCCACGTTGAATCAATGAATTCTGTTTTCAAGGGAATCCGAAACCTACCGATAAATGCCTTGGTAAAGGCAACATATTTTAGGCCCGGGGCACTATTTGATAACAGATGTACAAAATGGGGTCCAGTATTACAATCTGGTCAACTGTACAGTAATAGTTCAATGAAATTCATGAAAGGCAAAGCTGCCAAAGCCAACACACATGTGGTCACAATCTTTGACTGTAATAAAGGTTGGTTCAGTGTTGTAGAGTCAATTGATCACAATGAAGGAAGGCCCAGGGGATGTTACCGAGTGGAATTGGATAGGAGTAGGTGTGACTATGGAAAGTTTTTTGCATTTCGTATGCCTTGCTCCCATGTTATAGCAGCATGTCGAAGGCGCGCCAGGACCCGACCAACTATCATTCTGCTGTTCACCAAGTGATAAGTCTATGCAATGTCTATGGAAGTGGCTTTAGGTGGTGGCAAATGAGGACTATTTGCCTCCATACAAAGGAGAAATTGTCTGGCATAATGATTTGATGTGAAGAAAGAAAAAGGGTCACCCTAATAGCACGCTGTTGCACCCCAGAATTTGCCCAACCCTTTTCTTTACCTAGTTTATGTTTCATTGCATTCATTGTAGCATTAGCATATGCATTGCATTGTCATTTGTGCAGGGGATCAAGAGATGTGCCTATTAAGAAGAGGCTACCAAAGGTTCTAAGGCTAATCAAGAAGCTATAGTCAAGTTATCATCCTCAACAAGCCTTCATGAAGAAGTCAAAGCTCCTTAGGAAAAGGGATGGATACAAGCTTACCTACATCCTATTTGGGGGGTTAATGAAAGTCATCAAGAGTTTACAAGTCCATGGATATGGGTAGAAGTCCTTGAGATAACTCATGAGATGTCTTGAGAGGCATGGAGGAGCTTGTGCAAGTCATTATTCAAAGTGCAAGAAGCCACAACCAAAGGTGGTGCAGTTAGGGTTCTCACCTGGTCAACCCTAAGTCAACAGTTGAATTAAAGGAGATTATGACTCAATTCCAAGTCTTTGTGATCATGGGATGTTGTGTTGAGAAACATAAGAGAGTATTCCAAGATCAATTCATCAATATTCAAGAGTGTGAGAAGTTGCTAAGCTAGGGTTTCTAAGCTTGACAGTGTAAAACCCTTTATTTAGTGCCTATCTTCAAGACCACATAACTCAAGATACAAGTTTCATCTCATCTCGACTCAAACATGAGACTTGTATATCATGTTCTTAGCTTTCATTTGAGTACTAGAACGCATCCATTGGATTTCTATAACTCAAGATATGAAGCAGACAAGTTACCGGTCATTAGATGAATGTGATTTTGGTCCATGAAAGTCAACCAACTTCCAAGACATTTTTGACCTAGAAGGATGTCTCTCCTCATCTTGACCCAAACATGAAAGTTTTTCCTTATGATCCTAGATTTCTAATAAGTACTAGAAGTCCTCAAGCTGATTTGTGAAGCTCAAGATATGAAGCTTGCAAGGCAGGGGTATTTTGGGAAACTAAGATTATGGGCCACATTTCATTATAGGTCAATTTCACCACCTTTCACATCTCAAATAGAAATCTTTCCAACTTAAAAGATGCTCCAAAGGGGGTCATTTGCATAATCAAACATCAAGGTGTCATGGAATTGACTTGTATGGAAGGATTGATGAAGAAATTTCCATGGAAAAGGTATTAAAAGTACAAAAATCAAATTAATTCATATGGAACCAATTTCATTCAAGTTTGTGCATATTTTGAGTGCAAAAGACATTCTAAACATGATGGCAAAACCAGAATTGCAAATTGAGCTCTTTTACCATGTCATTTTCAAGATTACTTCAAGCTTAAGGTACATATGCAAATCATACCATAGGATCAAAACAAGGGATGAATCTGATCCATTGATCTTCCTCACATCACCAACAACCTATTTGAGTCAAATTTGAAGCATTTCTAGCTCTGTTTTCACGACTTGCAAGCTTGCCACATCAATGAAATTGGATTTTCAATTGGGGTTATATAGGCTGCCATTGGGCTTTTTCATCATCCATATCCAAAGTATAAATTGCTGGGATCATTCACAATCAATGATAACAGATTCTGGAGCCATTTTCAGTTAGAAAACAGTTGGAGAAAATGAGAGAAGAGTGAGAATCGATTTTTCAATTCCTTGAAGTTTCAATCCAAATTGCTCATTCTAACAGCTCTAGGAAGGATCAAGGATCGTTTCTGGATCAAATTCATCAAGAATTCACAACATTTGAAGGCTCAGTGGAAGCTCTCCACTAGGTAATCTATCTCTCGACTTTCCTCTCTGTTTAGGAAAAATTAGCATGCCACTTTCATGTATTTATGATCCTTGCACTTAGTAGACGGATTTAGGATTGATTTGATGCTTGATGGTGATGATTCTTGATTAAGCATGGAAACTTGTAGCTTTCGATTAGGCTTGTTTAGAGACAATTAGGTCAAGAAAACTATGGCATGATGTTGTATTAAGCAAGACGAGTTGATTGATGTCAAGAATTTTGAGTTTCGTGAACTTCTATGAGTTGTTACAGTGCGTGCTAAAGGTAGAAGACGACCAGAGTTGTTCCGGCCACCGCCTGCAACTCTCCCCCCAAATTCATATTTAAATGCTGATGAGGGCGTGGCTTGATGCTATCCTTTAGATCATGGCTGGATTATTGACTTGAACTTAATCTGGTGGCCACGATTCAATGTTATTTTATGCTGAATTTATGATAATCACGTGGCAACGTGTTAGCCTTATGATGTTTTGACTTCATCCATAATGTAAGGCCAGGATCTTATTGAATCCCCTTTTAATGAAACGCTGCGTTCAGCAGCTCGTATCACAACCATTGGATGTTTGACTGGTAATTGAATTGAAGGGCTGAGATTCAGCCTCGTTGGTTGACTTACCTTAGGATTGGACTGGGCTTCTTTGCTGTCTGCACCCCTCACGAGCCTGAGCCCAATGAAACCAACACAAATCCCTTGTTATTTGCACCTAACATTTTCCAATTTAATTTCTTTTCTCTTATTTTCATTTTATTAATTATGTTTGCATTTAATTCATGAAAAATACTTTTAATGCATCAAAGAATATATGAAAAATATTTTTGCATACTTTAACATGTAATCTAATTTTACCAATTTTTAATTGAATTTTTAATTCATTTTCCAATTTAATTTTGCATTTTCTTTTTAATATGTTCTTGTAAATAAGAAAATTGCATATCACCACTTCTTGATATTATTTCTTGATCAAAACATCAAATAAATTCATGAAATTTCTTGTGAATATTGTGGATACTTTAATTGATTTTAGGATATTTTTATCTCTGATTTTTGAGGCCTTTTGATTAGGTTTTGGATTAAATCTTTAAGACCCCCTCCCTTGCCTAGTTCTTAGAACATGCTTAGGAGTTTGCCTTCTGTTGGCATAGCTAGGCTTAGAATTTTTCTCTCAAATTTTGACCCCTAGTTCCTAATACCAGAGAGGTCCCCTAGGATGTTTCTTAGAATCTATAGATTCATTTTACTATTTTTAAGGAATTTTCCATACTGGCCTATCCTTGTGTGGCTTCCAACTCTACTACTTGCCTAGTTTGCATTTTGTGTGAACTTTTTGCAATGCTTGTGCATCCAACTCTTGCATATCCATATTGTATACATATTAAGGCATTTGTATGTCCATTTTCAAGTCCTAATCATGTTCCTAGCTTATTTAAGTTTAGGCTTCCTTTAGGACCTTTCCTTTAGTCGTTCCTTGTGAACACCCTTGAATGACTTCTATCTTTGCATGATTCTTTCTCCACCTATGCTTCTTCTATTCCTCTTTGTCCTAAAATCTTAGGATCCTTCTTGTGAGAGTCCAGTTCTTCCTCTGGTAGAACTAAGGGCATTCCATAAAGAAGTTGAGCCTTTGATGGACTCTTGTGTTGATACACATTGAACATAGTGGGTTCCTTTGGTTTTCGCTGTGCTTCTCTTCTAATTACTCATTGTCCTATAATCTTAGTGTCACACCCCAATTTTTGACCTTAAGAACCCACCTCCTTGTGCAAATCATCTAAGCCCATTATCCCTGTACAACTAATGGTTTTACACAGTTTATGTTTATTTTGCAAACTTGCTGAAGGAGGTTTGAAAGTCATAAAGACGTTGTGTATGTCCTACATAATTATGGTTCTTTGCATGCTAGGAAGAGATGTGTGCACTCAATGTTGTAGTTTCATGATCGGACCTTGATTTGAGGATTGGGTGGAACCTTATAGCGACTTGGATCTCAAGTTTATCAGGATTTCGAGTTTAGAGTCCCTATCCAAATAAACGAACTCCTAACTATGTGGGAATTCATCTAAATTATAAGACGTCTCACTTGTGAATTCTTGAATTTCGACAGGAAATTATTCATTTACTACAAAGACTTCATTTTTCAAGAGATTGAACTACGAAAGAACTCCACTTGCTCTTATATTAAGGAGTTTTATTCCATTTCAAAAGGAAAAGTCCAGTGTATAATACGAAGAATCTGGAAGTTCACATTAATTCAAAAGCATTTAGTAAAGAATTCAGTCCTCCATGGTAGATCACCAGACTGAGCATTGGACTACACAATTTGATACAAGTACAGTTTTGAACAGGTAATGGTGCAAGGAGTTTTTTTATTCTTATGACAACGCCAAAGAAAAGAATCATCAATGCAAGGTGGGAATTCACAAGTCTTCTTGTTACGAGAAACTTTGTGGCTCAAATATTTTCACATAGCCAAACTTCCACATTTAAAACAAAACCAATGATTACTCATAAAATTAAATTGCCCATGGCTACAAGTTATCACCAAATCCATGTGAAAGAAATTTATGCCAAAGACAAACTATCCTAGTAATCACAACTTGCTGTACAAGGAGTCTTTTATTGCCCGAACTAAAGACACAAAGATACAATAACATTTTCTATATACGCTTCCATGAATAAGAAAAAACCGCATCAGTTCGACCACAGCGGCATCCAATGTCATCAATAAGTGATAATCTGGCCAGAAAATCTCAACACCAACCGAGGTTGCCACCCAATTCGTTCTCAAGTGCAAATCCTGCAACAAATAAATGAAAGTCAAACTATGATGGAGAAGAAATTGGAACTTGAGGAAATAGGTGGAGTTTGTAGGAAAGTGGTCCCTTTACCCGAACTATCAGCATCCAGGATAAAAGCAGAGCTCTTCAAACTGTTTGGAGTTGTGAGTAAGAAATACAAAGAGAAAAGAAGGTCTCTTTTGTTCAACTTGAAAGATCGCAATAATCCCGAACTAAGAGAAAAAGGTTATGTTTGGTAAAATTCCTCCCAAACAGTTATGACTGCAGAGGAACTTGCTTCAAAGGAGCTTTCTAAGTGGCGGTTAGCCAAGGCCGAGGAGGTTGCTCAAATGGTGGTTTTACCTGATTCAGATGTTGATATTAGACGCTTAGTCAGGAAGACGCATAAAGGTGAACTTTGAACACAAAGACAATGTTCCAGTGGAGGAGGTGTCTGGTGGCAAAACTTCTGTTGTTCGAAGGTAACCAGTTAAAAAGGATGCGAAAGCCACTTCTAAACCCTGTGTAATCAAAAGTGATGTAAGCACTGATAACCAATTTTCCACTACGGTTTCTTCCAATGACGGGACTGATCCCATGCAAGGGATTATGACAGATGATGATGCATTGAAGGACCCTGACTTTTCTTCCCCCAATTGTATCTCTTGATGAATTCACGGAATCCCTTGATTTTGAGCCACCATTTGAAAATTCACCTGCAGAGTAAAATAGTTTGTCAACTTAATACAATACTAGTTACCAAACAACCTAGAAGGTAATAACCGACTCGAGTCTGGACAAAGAATTTCTTACCAAGGCTCACATGATGGTCATCCCTCCAGCAGGATCAGAGTATACATCTTCCCAACAAGAATTCTGCTATAAGATCTTCTAAAGACCCCTTCGTTCGTCGTTTCCGAAAACTGCACCTCCAATATCCATGTGTAGTTTTCTCTTGTTCAACCCAATGCTAGAATGTCCAGGAAGCGCCGACCGCGACAGAACGGCCATGACTCGTTTCAGCCATCAAAGATAGAAGAAGAAAATGAATCAACACCAGGTGCACAGAAAGAAAATGAATAGAAAGAAGAGTGAAAGAGAAGCGGTTCAACATACCCAATCAAGTGCAATTCACTTACCGAAAGTGAACGAGTGTCTTCGGTAAATCCCTGCAAGTTGCGAAGCCAATCGCCACTCGCCATGTAGTTTCACGAAGCAGGACCAAATGCTCGAATTACCCTCATTGTTTTCTCTAGTAGGCTGAGATAATCATGGACACATAATGCTTGTTGGAGCTGACACGAAAGCACATGTACCTCATGCTCCTTGAAGAAGGAAAGGCTGTGACTTCGCTTCGTCCGTGTATCCGCCAGAATGGACAGACATAAAATAACAAACAGTCAGAAATGGGAGGATAATGCACAGTCAAAACAAAGGAAGGAGATTAATTTCAAATTCCTGAGGCGCCAAAACCAGTCACACGAAAAAATACGTAGAAATTAATATCAGCGAATAAGATCAAAAGAGTTAGGCATGTAATCAAAAGCATTAATTCTCAGAAAAAAATAGGCCTCAAACATAATCAAGAAAAAGGGAATTTATTCAGCATTCAAACATGATTAAGCAGGACAATCTGAAAATGGCAAGAAATTCATTACAATCAAGCCAAAATCGAAATCCATGACAGTGTTTCCAAAATAGTTTTGACAGGAGAATATTGAAATTAAATTCTGGATCAAACTTTCAATATCACTCAACATATAAATAGCAGAACAGAGACAGAGAGAATTGACAACAAACACAACCATTCACCAAAAACGTATAGAAAAATCCCTGAGGCAAAAACCCAAACCCTAACAGATTCGAATCCATTCACAAAAATCCCCCCACTCCAACATTCAAAAAAAACCCTAAACTACTGTGAAGAAGAGTTAAAGAAGACTCATCCTTTTTCTTCTTCCACCGTGAGTCACCCATCACCATCCATCGCGAAATCGCGAACCGTTTCTCCAAACCTGCGAACCGCTATCGAGACCTGAAAAAGTCCATACAAACTGTGAGCGTTTTTGGCTAACATCGTTAATCTGTTCTGTTTTGCTTATTTTATAGGAGATCAAAGGGGGAGAGCACTTAAAGAACCGCGAAATCAAGAGAAAGGCAACTCATCTGACAAAGTTCACTCGAACCTCCGTCCGTTCTTCGCCGATCCGCCCTCGCCCTCTGTGGAACGGTCGTCGTGAATAAGTTTGTTTCTCAGTTCAAACGCACGTTTATGTAGGTTTTTTTTCGTTGATTCGATGAGGCTACCACCGTGTCCTCCCATTTCTTTTGTGATTTGGGGTTTAGGGTTCGGAAATTTGGGGATTTGGGTTTCTTTCTGTTATGTTTCGCCGCCTGTTTTTGTGTTGTTTGGTGTTGTGTTCACGGTTTCACAGGTCGGGCTGGGTATACGATGAAGGGGGCGTCAAGAAGAAGAAGGAGAGCTTGAGAATAGTGAAGAACGAAGACTGAAAGATGAAGACAAGAGGAGGATTGAGAACCTGCGCATGAGGGAGAACGTAGGGCTAGGGTTTTCTTTAATTTTAATTTTGTGTGATGTATGTACGCCCAAAGCAGGTATCGTACACCCATGCACTCACTCGATCACGGCCGTTCATTTCCACTGACCCATCATCATGCGATCCATACAACGTAACCCCACCATGCACCCCCCAGTCCTGCGCATCACGTGACCAGACGCCAACCCCATAATCTACTAAATAATTAACCTCCATTAATCTTAATCCACTGGTTTAATTATTTAATCATTCATTAACCATTAATCTGGCATATAATCAACCAATTTATTTTATTTAATTAATCAATTATTCAATCAGATTTTTTTTATTTTTTTATTTATTATTATTTGGTTTAGTTAAATTTAAAACAAAAATTATTATTTCAACAAATAAGATTAGATTTAAATTTTTATTTAACTCTTTCCCTTTTAACAATAATATAAAAACAAAAAGATATCTTCACTTAAAAATACAAAAAATAATAAGACTTTAATTTCAAATTCAAGATTAATATTTTAATTTTCCATTCTAGTTCAATTAATTCTAACCTTTAACTTAGACTTAATTTTAAACTTAGTAATATTCTCGAAAAAACCATAAAAAATAATCTCTTCCTTTAAATTAATCATTCCCGCATCGATTCCCCTCACACATGCACCTTTCACTCATTTAGCGCTTTCATGCGTTTATATCTGCTTTTTATTCACAATTTGCATTTACCGTCTTTATTTTTTATCGCATTGCATCTGTCCAAAGGAAAAACCTACACATAATTCAACGTTGTGTGTAGTTGCACATCATCTGCATCATTCTCCCCACGATCCTTGATTCCATTCAAGTTGATCATTTAAGTTTAGGACCTACCCCATAGGAAGGACCTTGTCTTTATTCTTTACAACTTAGACAAAATAATCAACACAATACAACTTTTACAAACACATTTAGAGAATAGATGTTAATCATCTTGAGTGAGATATAATCTCCACCCCCACAACAACACAATCAAACATGTAGGGACTTTGCCTTAAGAGTGACAAAGGCATGCTTGGCGACCATCCGAGTATGTAAGACCTTTCTTAAGACGATGCAAAGACCATTTCCTACAACCCTTTTCTTTATATTTGTGGTGGTTATCTCTCCCTTAACATGAAGACTCATCTCTTCTCCTAGACCCAATCAAACAACTACCCTAAACCCGTAGGAACTTTGACCACAGTCAAAGAACTCCTCTAACCCTTTAGGGCGAACTACAACATACTCTGATTCCACTCCCGTAAGGATATGTAGGCACAAGGTGCGATGCCTTATCGAGTATACTTAGGACTAACCCCTTAGGTCTTTCCTTACCTTTAACCTTTAGCATTACCCTTAAGCAGATAAACACTTAGCAATAAACAAACATTAAAACAAGAGGTTCCTGTAGAGTACTACAGAAACTTAGGATGCTAGTACCTTCCCTAAGTTTAACCGACCCCCGAACCTATAAACTCTCTTAACCTTGCATTTGCATTGCATTGTGGGAATTTCGATCTTTATCCCTTCCTTTGGACGAATCAAAGTTTGGTTGCAAAATGAATTAAAGATTCAAACTAATCAATAGTTTGGTATCCAATTTTCACCGCGACAGAAATGGCGACTTCACTGGGGAGTCCTCAGTGGGTTTCCCTATCTTGTTTTTACTTGTTTATTTGCTTATATTTGCTTATTTGTTTACTTGCTTATTTGTTTGTATTCTTGGGTTGATACTTTTGAGTGGTGAGACAAAGTCCTACACCCGGACTTGAGTGAACTTAAGATAGGATAGTGATATGTTCAAAGAGGCTTATAGGGGGTGGAATCCCGACCAAGCTGACTTGAAAATCACGCTCAATTGAGGCCCTCTCGAAAGATGTATTGTTGAACGAGTCTTTAATCGTGAAAACATGCACTACATTCGATGTTGGAGCCTATGATATTGAGGACCATAGTTACCTTAACCCCACTTTGACCTTTACTAAGATGTAGTGCGGGGCTATGAGGGGGTACCCCCCGAAATAGTGCTACGCGATGCTACACTCAAAAGAAGTTCTCTTGAGAATATTATTAACCCCCGAGTACTTGGGAGGTTGATAATATCCGAAAGATGGGCTAATGACTTTGGGAACCTTATTAGAACCTTATTCTGCAGGTACAATCAACCTTTAGTCAGTGTCCTTTGGGAATGGGTACACCCTTGCTCCATGCTCGTTACAAACCTAGGGTCTCCCTTGTCTGTTTTATCTTTGTGTGTCCTTATGTGCTTACTTGTGTTTGTTGCATCCATAGAGCATCATATTGCATTGTTTTCATGGGGTTCTTAGTTTATTTATAAACATTACAGAAACAATAGGGATTACAAAAGAAAATATTTTGAAATATTCTTTTAAGAGTCTTAACTTGGATGACCTAAGGAAGTAGGAGCTCAGATTTAAGAAAACTCAAAAGACAAATACAAGAGGCTTTTCGTATCATGGAGGATCATTAGAAGTTCAAAAGGCTCTCATTATCATTGAAGATCCAAGTGAACAAGGGGTTCCCCCTTACTTCCAA